GCAGAACGAACCATGACTGTTACGTGAAATCTGATTTTTGAAAAACTACAGTGAGTATTTAAATTTAAAAAATAACTACTACAGTAAAAAAACACCTTGCCATTAATCCTCCTCAAAATACTCCCTCTCACATCAAACCTACTTATCCCATCATTGTGCTACTTTCTCAAGCAGTTCTGAAATTTATCTTTTGTGAATGCCTTTAGTTGCACTATTGTAGCTGCCTCAATGTCCTGAATCTATTCAAAACATTTACTTTTCATAGTCATTTTGATTTGGGGGAAGAACCAAAAGTCACTTGGTGCCAGTTCAGGTGAATAAAGTGGATGAGGATACACCATGTTTTTACCAGCTTCCCTTTCCATTGGGTCATACTAGGCAGCAGCAGTCACTGCGTTGTTGTTGTTGTTGTTGTTGTTGTTGTTGTTTTATCACATCTCATGAAAACACAAAAGAGGACTCCCACAACTGCTTCAGAAAATTGCAAGAATGATGGGATAAGTGTGTTTGAAGTGATGGGGAGAATTTTGATGAGCATCAATGGCAATGTGTATTTTACTGTAATATATTTTTATTTAAACATTCACCATATCTTTTGATCACATCACATACATCTGGTGTAACATAGTTACCTGTAGAAGAAAGCATGTTTTCCTTCATCTATGATTAATAATGAAACAAAAACTTTTACCAGGAATTAACCTTATTATGAGTGTGGTGTAAGTTATTCATGTATAAATTTCTCCCTGTTTATTAACTTACTTTTCTTTATTTAGAGAAATTAGCTTTGAATTTATTTATTAATCAAAATAAATAAAATTAAAGCAACCAAATTTTCAAAAAAAAAAAAGAATATAATGGGGCTTTTTCCTAAAATGCTGTGGGCAGAATTAAAAGCTCAAGAGTTCTTGATAGTAGTAGTGACTCCAGGCAAAATCACATCCAAAACTATGCCCCTGAAGCTGTCTGGGATGAGCTAAGAGGGATCAAAATATTCTACATATCATAAATAATGGCAAGGTCAGAAATGGGTATACCTTAAATTAAATTAATTTTTTTAAGGTCTGTATTGTCTGGGGTGGAGGACTGTTACTAAGTAGAGATTGTTTATCACCTGCCCACCCATTCACCTAACCACAGCTCTGTATTCTGAGATATAGTGTTATTGTATTACACCTCATTGGGTATAATGAACATCTGCGAAATATGTTAGAGTTGGCTTAAAAAGTCTATATTCTTACTTCTATCAGGCCATGTTGTTACAAAATATTAAGAAAGCAGCCCAAATATTGGACATTTTCCTTCCATTCAGAGTCACATTTCCAAAGGTTAACAGCTTAAATTTACCATCCCGACAAAGTCCTTACTAAGTCTGATGAATTGCTTGAAGCTCACCATGCTTAGCTAGAAGAATAAAAAAATCTCTGTAGAACAGAATTCTATGCTACAGAGATTTGAATGTTGAGGGTTCCTCTCCCAGAAGAGAATGAGAAAATTATGGCTGAAAATGGGAAATTAGAAAATCATAAAGACCTTTTGAACTCAGTATTATGAAACTTTTAGAGATTTGTTCTTGTACACTCCCAGCACAATCTACTTGATTTATGAATTTAAGTGGAAAAATTTAGCTACTTTGAATTAATTTCTCAGACTCTGAAAAATGATTCACAAATCATTAAGCTCAATTTTTCAATCTCTTGATTCAGAAATGCCTGTGATGCCTCTTTGGAAGAGAAGTATTTGACCCCTTGCTGGCCACAGCTAGAGCTTTTCTGGTCCATTTTAAATGTGTTTAAACTTCTACCTTTCTCACTGTTCCAAAACCGAGCCCCTCCCTCCACTGCTGCCTATGAGAGTAACACAGGACACTGATATTTTCTTACTTGTGTATAACAACTGCTTAAATATGTTAAGTAATTCTCTTATTGTTTCATAAAGCCATTCCGCATATCCCATGAATTGTAGTGCCTTCTCCTCATGTTCACTACTTGTATATCTAGAATGTCCCCTGCAAAATTCTCATAAATGTGAAAGGTAAGTCAATCATGGGAACACTACACTCCTCAATGGATTCACTAACTGAGTTCATAACTGTATGTACTATTAGGACCTGGGCCCTGATGCAAAGAGGTGGGTCACTGAGAGTATGATGAAGAAGGGTAAATCTCCTTCCCTGGCTCTTTTCTTGGTTTTCTGCCTCCTGGCTGCCTTGGGACAAGCAGCTGTCCTCTGACCAGGCTTTTACACCAAGCCATTTCTGCTTTGGAGCCACGAGACTAGGATTGAAACATCTAAAAACCATAAGCCCAAATAAACCACTTCTCCTTTGAGTTTCTGGTGTTAGATATTTTGTCCCATCAATGAGACAGTGATTAAGATAGAGGAATATATGTTAGTTATACAGTTTCCCTCTTTACGTGTTTGATTTCCACAATTTAGCCCAAAGTGATTTTAGGATTAATGAAATCACCATCAGATCTTTGAATTTTTATCAAGGAATGTCTTCATTACTTTTCATCTGAGAAGCTGTTGTTTTGAATGTGAATATTTACATCCATTAAACTTCATTGTCATCACCTACTTCCTACAGTCCCTGGTAAACTGACTCTAAATTATGGGAGTCCATTTCCTGACCGCAACTGATTGGACAGGGTGAAGTTCCATATCTACCTATCTACCCAGAGTAACCTTTTAATTAACAACTAAATTTAATTGACATGTCTCTTTAGTGACATACACCAAAAAAAGGAGAAGGGCTGATAAGCCCATTTGTCACAGGAATTAAAACAGAAAGTATGGCTCAAATTGTAAAATATATACAAGCAGCAACATACAAATTATAGGTGGTATGTACATGATTAAAATGAAAGAATGTTAAACATATTGCCTGCAGATGAGTAAAAGCTAGGGCTTTAGACTCACTGTTTTAGGACATGTTTAGTGATTGTTTACGGCATGTTAAGAAAATAAATGAAACAATTCAAATTTGATTTAAATAAAAATATTAATAAAAGAACCATGATGAAAACAAATGACTGGAATGTATTTCAAGAACAATTGCCTTGAAATCAATTTTTATTCAAAAATACAGATAGCCACCCTTCCTAAGAATATGCTAGTAAATTGAGGGATAAAATTTGTAGAAAAGAAAAAAAGAAACTTTGGGTCCATATTTACTATAGGATAATTCCACTAGGTACAGATCAGCGACTAGAAAGACTTTCCCGGACTTCCGGCGGCGTGGGGGAGGGAGACGGAGAAGAAGGATCGATCCATCCGCTCCTTGGCCGCTCTGTCTTGCTCCCTCGCGCACTCTCTGGCATCCTGGCCAGCGTGGAGGAGGCAGGGGCCTCTGGGAGCCACCTGAACGGCGACCTGGACCCAGACGACAGGGAAGAGGGAGCAGCTTCTACGGCTGAGGAAGCAGCCAAGAAAAAAAAATGGAAGAAAAAGAAGAGTAAGGGGGCTGTTGCAGGGCAGCAGGAACCTGATAAAGAATCAGGAGCCTCTGTGGATGAGGCAGCAAAATAGTTGGAAAGACAAGCATTGGAGGAGAAATTAAAACATGATGATGATGAAGATGGAGATGGCGATGGAGACGGAGCAACGGAGGAGGAGGAGGAGGAGGAGGAAGAGGAGGAGGAGGAGGACCAAAAGTTCAAACAGACCCTCCCTCGGTGACCATCTGTGACCTGTATCCCAGCGGCGTGTTCCCGAAGGGACAGGAGTGCGAGTACCCACCCACGCAGGACTGGCCAACAGCTGCTTCGAGAACTACAAGTGAAGAAAAGAAAGCATTAGATCAGACTAGTGAAGAGATTTGGAATGATTTTCGAGAAGCTGCGGAAGCACATCGACAAGTTAGAAAATACTTTATGAGCTGGATCAAGCCTGGGATGACAATGATAGAAATCTGTGAGAAGTTGGAAGACTGTTCACGCAAGCTCATAAAAGAGAACGGCTTGAACACAGGCCTGGCCTTTCCGACTGGGTGTTCTCTCAATAACTGTGCCGCCCACTACACGCCCAACGCGGGCGACACCACGGTGTTGCAGTTCGATGACATCTGTAAGACTGACTTTGGAACGCATATAAGTGGTAGGATTATTGACTGTGCTTTTACTGTCACCTTTAATCCCAAATATGATATATTATTAAAAGCTGTAAAAGATGCCACTAATACTGGAATAAAATGTGTTGGCACTGATGTTCGTCTCTGTGATGTTGGTGAGGCCATCCAGGAAGCTATGGAATCCTACGAAGTAGAAGTGGAAATAGACGGGAAGACATAACAAGTGAAGCCAATTCGCAATCTGAATGGACGCTTGATTGGGCCATACAGAATACATGCAGGGAAGACCGTGCCCATCGTGAAGGGCGGGGAGGCGACCAGGATGGAGGAAGGAGAAGTGTATGCCATTGAAATCTTTGGTAGTATAGGAAAAGGCGTTGTTCATGATGACATGGAGTGTTCACATTACATGAAAAATTTTGATGTTGGACACATGCCAATAAGGCTTCCAAGAACAAAACACTCGTTAAATGTCATCAATGAAAACTTTGGCACCCTCGCCTTCTGCCGCAGATGGCTGGATTGCCTAGGAGAAAGTAAATACCTGATGGCGCTGAAGAATCTGTGTGACTTGGGCATCATAGACCCGTACCCACCCCTGTGTGACATTAAAGGGTCATACACAATGCAGTTCGAACACACCACGCTGCTGCGTCCCACCTGCAAAGAAGTCGTCAGCAGAGGAGAGGACTATTAAACACAGTCCAAAGCCACCTCAGCACCATTATTTTCTAAGCTTTCTTGGAATACATTATACCAGAATTAACTTGCAATGTGCTGTCTGTTTTAACAGTGGACCTGTGTAATATTCTACCCATGTTTAAAAGAATTTGGTTTTGATCAGAGGCAAACCGTCTAATGTAATTAACCAAGGAAAAGGCTTTCAGGACTTTCAAATGCTACCTGTCTCCTTCCTGTCTAGGAAATGCTCTACAGCTCAAATTAGTTAGGAATGACTACACGTTTTGTTTGGAACACCTAAGTCATGCTTTTTGGATATTTATATTGCCATATTCTTACCTGAATGCTTTGAATGACTGACTACATCCACTTCTGCACGTATGCCCTCTGGTATTGCTTTTTAACCTTCCTGGAATCCATTTTCTAAAAAATAAAGACATTTTCAGATCTAAGAGCTAAAAAGAAAAAAAAAAGACTTTCCCATCAAAACAGAAATTTTCATTCCATTTCTGTGTTCCCATAGTTGTTTGCTTTAATTTCTTCTTTTCAGAGTTTTAGAATTATGTCTATTTTGTCAATTTTCTAGGAGTATATGAATATATGTATGGTATATTCTAGGTGTACTGGTTTTATTTTTTAATTAAACAAAAGGTTGTAGTTGAAACACTTTTATTGCAACAAAATTGATTTCTTCATGCAAAAGAGAGAGGTAAAGATGAAGATAAAAATATCACAAGACCTGAGATCTGATTTTTCTATGTTGAAGAAATACAGAAAAAAATTAAGTGGTAAGGCTTAGGGCAAAGCAGAAATGGATTTGAACTCTGGCACTTCCGCGCGAGTGAGGTAAAGTACAACAAATTATTTGTCATATGAATCTCAGCTTTCTTGCCTGTAAAATGGGGAACTATAGGTAAAGTTCCAGAAATAAAATGGATACATCCAGTAATTATCAGCAGCACTGTTTTAGCATTGCTTCTTTTTTTGGTGGGGAGTGGGTACCGGGAATCAAATTCAAGACCTTGCACTTGCCAGGCAGGCGCGACAACACTGAGCTACATCCCCAACCCTGTTGCTTCTTAATTCAGAAGAAAAATGATGGCAAATTATGATAGTAAAATTTCCTCTGACTCATACAATCATTATTGTGTTTATGAGTATTTCTTTGGTAAACAATCCAGATTTTTAAAAACATGGTATCAGTGGCATTCATTATAATGAAGCTTATTAATGATCAAAAAGTTATACGGAATTTAAGAAAACACATTTGAGTCCTCTATTTTATAGTTTCCCATATGACTAATAATTATAATTTGCATTCTTCTCAGTTCACTAATATTAGGGTTCTTAATTTAATTTTTATCTGCAAAATATTACATTGTTTAATCTGGAAAAGATCACTCTATTTTAAATAGGTCGATACCTCCCTGACAAAACTTATTGCAACTAAAATGAGATTAATTAATTAGAACTTTTAAAATTCTAATTGATGGGAATTCACTATTACAATCTCATTATATGAGATTATAACATTCAAAACACCTAAAGCAATCTTTCTGGTATTACATGAAGTTGTACTGGTTTTATTTCTCTGAAATTAAATCCAAGTCTCCCCAGGGAAATGGAATCTAAGATATCTCAATGTAAATTTATTGGCTGTTTATTTAATAATTTTACCATTGACATTCACCTATATGCAATTTTAGGAATTTAAAGGCAATGAAATCATTTCTATCCACATCTATTGAAAGAAGGAAAATATGCAGCGGTCCAATTTTAATTTTAATTTTCTAACAGGCTAATGGACAAGAAAGATTTGATAACAGGAAGATGAGAGTAAAATATGTAGCTTTATAGATAAGTAAGCGCAACTAGATTTTTAAAACATTTCTTGCTAAGTAGTCATTGTCAGTACACAAGTTAAGTTTTGAGTGTGTCCCTCTGCAGGGCAGGAATGGGAATTGAAAGTGCAATTTCAAGATAATGTAATATAGTTACAAAATCCTTGGTGAATCACTGACATCAGGAAAGGCATTAAAAACCCAGTCATGGTCCTTTTAAAAAATCAAATTCCATTAAAGGTAAACCTTGAGAAAAATCAGTGAACTCAGTCACAAAGGTAAAATAAGATTGAAGTGGTCAATACTTCATAGCCCTATGTGCTCAGCTCTCTATGATTTGTTTTAGGAACAGTGACTCTGGTGACAGGAAATTGAAAGTCAGATACTCCTGCAAATATTGTTCCTCGCTGTGCTTTGTTTAACAAGTAAAGGTAGCTGCACAACCAGAGGCCTTGCCTGCAGATGGATTACCACTGCTACCAAATATAAAAAATCTAACCACATCAACACAAATTGTTAAGACAAGAATCCCTCTCCACTCCGCTTCTGTGCTTCACATCCTTAAGTAGTTTCCTCATTCACCCAAAATAAAGCTCAAGTCCTTCTAATGAGTCACAGGGCCACAATAGCACTCCCATTCCCTCCCTGAGTTCTTTCTCAATTACTCTCCCCTGCCTTTCTGCTCCAGCTCCCTAGGCTTTCTAGTCTGGCCCCTACCTGACTAGTTTGTCTGTTAAGGTCTGCCCTTGTCTTTTCGCTTTGCAGAAACTGCAAAGTTCTTAGTCCATATAGACACATGGCTTGGTCCCTGACCCTATGATTCTCCCTAAATATACCCTACTTACCTTGGCTTTCCTTGACCATCTCACTAAAACATAACCCTGTTACCCCAGTTTTACCTTTCTGCTTGACTTATCTCCATGGTAACAACTTCTAATATCCTTTACATTTTATCTTTTATTTGTTTTCTGATCACTTTCCCTTACCAGAATGAAAACTCTCATGGCATGAATGATTAGAGAACAACCTGTAACAAACTAAATGCTGGACACATATTTGTTGAATAACTGAACAATGGAGGAATGAAGAAAAGGAAGAATAAAACTATTAATTTATCTATAAACCTCAGCTTTTAATGTAAGAAAGAATGGGTGCTAGCTTTATAAAAGTTTCAAGGATTTTTGAATCAGACATGGACTGTTTCTTTAAAATGTGTATAACCCAATAAAGAAATTGATCATTTCTATAACTAATATTAATGAAGTATAGAAAATGCTGAGCCCTTAAAGGTTGATGAGGTTTGAATTCCAGCAGCAAGATAGAAAAAAACTATACTTCATTTCCAAAAAGAAATCAGAAAAGCTTTGTGGAGGAGATGGCATTTGAATTGGTTTTAGAAAAAGGGAGCATTTTAAAGAGTCCATAATAAATGGATGGAGAGAATATTCAAGAAGAAGACAATGTAAGCAAAGGCTCAAATATGAATAGTCTTTGAACACAAATAACATTAAGCCCTTCTGTTTGGCTGCATAAAAGACATACTGTAAACACCTATAAGGTTGGAAAGGCAGAATCAAATTGTGAAAGACCCATCAAAGATCCATCATTTTAACAATGTTTATTGATTCCCTGAATATAATTGTTCTGAGCCATACCTGGACCTTGGGCTCTGTTCCCATGCTTTGCCTAATTTAATAGCTTTTCAAGTTTTACCTTTTTTCTTGGGAAGACATTGGCAGTTAGTAAGCAGTAGGTTTCCTGCAATCTTTTGGGGCAGCTACTGATGTCCTCTCCTCCCACTTTCCTACATTTCTTAGAGCACTGCCAACCTGATGGACTGAGAGGCAAAGTATGATGTTTCTCACCTACAGGCCCAGAGCCTTACCTGCCATTGGGCCAAGGTAAGGCAGACACCTGAAAGCAGCTGCACCAGGGGTCTGGCTTCAGGAGAACCTGCTAACCTGACATCATATCCAAACCAAGACATCCACAACTAGCTGGTCCTGCTTTGGATCATTCTTTTGGTGCTGTGTCATTTTGTTTTTAGTTTGTTTGTTTTTACCTTTCTTAACGTCTGTTTTACTTTTTTCTCTAAAGACTAAATTGCTTATTTGTGTTAATTAATTCATCTTTTATTTATCTTGCATTAATAAAAGTAGTTTATTTAAAATTTCTCTTGCTGTTTCAAATAAAGTTTATATTTTCCTTTAAATTGCTACTTCTTACAGGTAAATTTGATTTGTTCTTAAATTTTTCACTTTTCTTCATTGTTCTACTCTTTTTCTTATATTTCATTTATTGCTTTTTATTTTGCTATTTCTTTTGCTGAGATCAAACCCAATGCCTCATGAATGCTAAGCAAGTATTTGACAAATGAGCTACATCACCAGCCTGATTATTTAAACTCTTATTAGACATATATTTTTCTTGCTTTGAATCCTTTAAAAAAACAAGTTTCTCACTATGAAACTACTTTCTCATTTTTCCTCACCTTTTTTATATATGCAACTCTGAACTTTTCAACACACCATGTATCTCACCATATGATGCTCTGAAACACTTTGAGACTCTGATTGCAAGAAGGCTATCAGGAAATGTGGCTCCTTAACCTTGGACTTGAACTATGAACCCAAATAAACCCCTTTTCTTTATAAGTTTTCTATTCTGTGGTCTTATGTTATATTAGTAATAGAAAATGAGCTAATGCAATGAGAAAGCCTTTATCCCTTGGAAAATTACAAGTTGCATACTTAAATTAAAGATCCTTATATTCTGCTATAATTAAGGAGCACTTTAAAAAATCTCAGTAGATCTGTAAGGAAACTCACTGGGATCAATTTAGAGGAATTTCACATAGGTTTCTAGGCCTTTAAACTTTGAGATGAAATGCTTAGGAGTTTAAGGAATTTACATAGACCAACCCCTAGGCCTTCCTAGAGGAAGAAGGCATATTTTTCCAATCTGTCATGATATGATACAGTTCAATTCAAAAGGTAGCTTTTAAAACATAAATTCAGTGAAGAAAGCAGGAAGAATAAAAGAAGGAAGACAGAAAACATTTCTGAATACATATTATTGAGAAACATTTCTGGAGCCACCCTCAGTGCGGAGGAGGAGCCTTCTGAGCCACCATACTATCTCCCCTAGCACTGAGGGGCAGAGCCCACACACACACAGTGCCAAGAAGGTGAGCTGCTCAGGTGCCAGAAGAACCCCACCCCCCACTGAAATGAGAAAACACATAAACAAGTCTCAAAACCAGACTTCCAGATTGCCTAAAACAACCTCAAAGGGAAATGAAATGGAACAATCCAATACACAAACACTTGGGCTCCCTGAACTGGCAACAAAAGAGGATCTCGAGAAAATGAAATGAGAAATAATTTCTCATTTAACAGCAGAGATTGTCCCCATAGTGCAAGACATGATTAATAAATCTAGAGAGGACACAAATTAAAAAATACAGGAGCTGAGGAATATGACGGAATCCAAACATTGGAATCCATAAAACAGATGCAAACAGATTTCCAGGAGATTAAAAAACTCCATTGAAAGTTTACACAGCAGAATGAGCCAATGTGA